TATATATATATATATATATATATACGGTAAACAGAAACATTAATTTTTTTCTTCATTAAGGGAATAATATAAGAACCGATTAAGAAAGGTTCATTCATTTGAAATGAAAATAGGATTTATAATTATTTCGTAATAATTACGAAAGATAATTATTTTTATTTAACATAACATTTTTCTTTCGCTTGCATATAATTCTCAATTATACTTTGAATAATGTTACATGAGTCACAAAAAAGCAATGTCAATAAGTACTCTTATTAATAACGCAATTCATACGCTTCCTATTTTCACAATTAATGCAGTTTGTGTAATTAATAATTCAATTAATTTCTTCGTATAAAAAATTGAGTATAACTTTTGAATATAACTTTGGAATTATTTGTCACTATAAATAAAATGAATATTTCTTTTTTTTTTAATAATTTTTAATTCGATCGACCCTCTAATCATATATTGTAAGAGATTCAACCCTTCTGTTTTGAACTTATTTCGCAATGGTGACGAAGTAAAATTTTTCAGTGTATGGAGTTCCCGAGGATAGATTAAAGAAGAGAAGGTTGGGATAAATATATTTCCTCATACATATCTTTTCTACATGGCAAAAGCAGTCGTTCTTGCAATAGTTTTATTTTTAAATAAAATTTAAGCTTCTCCATATTTAACTTATCGACTATTTCTCGATAAATGTACAATGTCGCAATATGATTTACATTTTTGTTTCATTGTCAATCGAAGATAACTTTTTAAATGTCTTAAATAAGAAAATGATCTTTCATTCGAACAAGTTGATGTAGGAATCGTTAAAAGAACGAATAAATTTTACGTATTCTGATACAAGATCTCTGATCTCAAGATTGTCACATAAAAATTGCATTACATCCTTCAAGCAATGCAGTGATATTTGTTGTATGTTTGTAATCTCTAAATTACAATTTCTAATTTCTAAATTTCTCCCCGATCGAATATCATACAGATATGAAATTCAATGGAATTTCATACATTGAATTATTCAGTGTATGGAGTACTTCATATCAACTATACTGAAGTCGTCGCCCATGATAGATGATAACGATTTGACATTCCCAACAGCACAAAACTTGGAGCATTGCTGCAATATTTAATATTGCAACAATATTGCTACAAGTTCTGTTCTATATTATATTATTGAGTGTTTGATATTCATTTTTAATGTTAAGTGTAAACGACAATCGCATTAACATATTTCATAATATTTATAACAAATATTTATATGATCTGTGCAATATATATGTATAATTAAGACCACAAAAATATTTACAAAATATTTGAAATGAGTTTTATAAATATTTTACAAATATTGTGTGCTGTCTGCGAACGTATATACTCTCGTCGCCGATTTAATTGAAAGTGAACAAACCGCAGTCGGTTCATCGCGTCGCGCGTTTGAATGCTGCGCAGACCATACGAAAGTACGAAACTCGTCCCTTGATCGCGCGCGTGACATTCTTTGCTCGTAACGCTATGTGTGATATAAAAGACGTATTACCGACATTGTGCAAGTACATTAACTCGTTGATAAACATAGGATTAACATCCGAGCATCTAAGACTGGCCAAGTATAATGCCCCGAACAAAATCGTCGTAAGTATAAGTATCGGAGATTCGAATGCGTTCGCGCTAACCTAACCTAACCTAATTTATCTGACGAGACTGATAATCCTATCGCGGTTGAAAACATATTTACAAAATTAGGTCAGAAGGGAGAGCGTTATACAGACATTTACTATAATCATGGAAATATCCATATGGACGTGATATTTATTTATGTATACAGGAAAATCTTCAGAAAATAATCTGACAATTTGCGCTCTGTTGAGCAATCATATGTTCTGTGTGTAGGCTGAGAAGCTGTGGAGTACACTGCGCATTCTGAGCTACTATGCCGCGAGAGAGAAACGAGGCGACATAGATTTTCGAAATTACGGTTCGTTTCAATGATTTGTATTTTTAATTGCATTGCCGAGTGCATTGCAGATCGTACTCTAGATTCGCGTTCGTTTGTTTTAACAAGAATAACGTGCACGTTATTCTAATTACGAAAAGTCTTCGCGCCGCAATTGTGTATACATAATTGTTTATAATTAAAGAAGTAAAATTGCTCTTATTCTCAGCATGTAAGAAAAAAAAGGTATGCAATTTTTTTGTTTAAAGTGCAGTAATTAATTGTGCAAATGTACTTTAAAAAAAAAGTTAAATACACGCATAAAAAATATTGAATATATTTTTATAATAAATTAAAAAAAATATATTTTTTT